CACCCCTAAAACTGAGTGATCACCCCAAAAATCCATTTATACCCCAAAAACGGAGCCAGCCCAGGTGAGTCAGGTTAAAACACATTAAAAATATCTAAAACCATAAATTAAAATACATTTAGTCCACCCATCACTTCGTGTTTTCCCATTTATCAAGGTAAAATAAAAATCAGAGCACCCGAAGGCAGGTAAAGAAATAAAATGAGAAAAGGAAATTTCAAATGAGGGCCAGGGGAAAAGAGTGGCTGCAATTTTCTGGGAACTCTTTTTGTCCCAGAAAATGCAAAAAAAAAAATCACAATTTAGCGGTGCCAGATCTCAAGGATGGGTGTTAGAATTCCGAGGAAATGAAAAATAAAAACCAAGAAAAATATATTTATATAAACTGGGAAAAAAAAAAAAAAATCGAGATTTTGTTGCTACCAAACACTCCAAAGAACCAGAGTTCCACTACAAATTTCATTTATTTTAACTCAATAATCTATTTTAACTCAACTTTTACCTCGATTTCAGCAGATTTCTGTCAGATCTGAATTAAAAAAAAAAAAAAAAAAATCTTATTTTTTGTTCTAAACCTCCTTTCAGCAGATGCTTCAGCCCCACGAGCCCGGGGACAATTGGATGGTTCCTAAATCTGATTTTATTTCAGTCAGGCCAGGATATCCAATATTTTCTTTATTTTGAGCATGTGGTGAATGAAAAGCCTGGTTTGAGAGGCCAGAAATAATATAGATATTAGCTCTTTATTGGGATGTTTAGCTTTAAAAATTATATTAAAAAAAAACTTTTAAATAGCTACGTTCAGCTCCATTTTGCTGGCAGCTAAAAGCTTTGCAGAACTCTCTGTGCTTTAAATGAGATTTAATAAATAACCAAAATCCAAATGAGAAATTCGTGGTTTAATCATCCTGACTCTGAGTAAAGGCAAAAATAAAAATAAAAATAAAAATAAATAAAACCGAGGTATTGAATAGTGCAGGTAACCCCTGACAGAGCAGGTAGAGAGGAGAAAAATTCATTTTTTTTTTTTGTGGTTGAAGGCAGAAAAGAATGGAGAGGGTGAGGAAAACCAGGAAAACCCCCCGAGGGTCTCCAAAAATAGAAATGGGATTGGGATATCAAATGGAAAATATTGGGGATGGGAGTCAGGATCTCAGAGGGAAAATGTGCTTTACTGAGCAGCTGAAAACCCCCCAGGAGGGATTTTGGAGGGGTGAAAAAAAACTTTTATAGGGGGTGAAAAAACCTTTTTTAGGGGGACACAAAAAAAATTTTTTAGGGGGACACAAAAAAACCTCGATCCAGACTCTGCATCCTGCAGGGATGTGCTGCTTCCAAGGAAAAATTGGAATTTCAGGGAAGTCACAGAAACAAATCCCCTCACTCACCCCGGGCCTTCCAAAGGGAGAGGAAATTTTAGAGCAACCCCAAAAGAGAAAATTCACCCCCCCCAAAAAAAAGGCAAATTCCCAAAAAAGGGTGGAAGTGCAGCAGTGGGGAGGTGAAATCTCCATCTCAGAGTTTCCCAATTTCCCCCCAAACTTTCAGAGGGGACAATTCCCCCTCCTGGCATTTCCAACAGGAAGGATTCCAGGCGTTAAAAACTCGGGGAAATTTGAATTTTCCTCCCTGCACAGCCCAGGAGTCACAGCGAGCACCTGTGCCCACCTGAGGGGCTGGGGGGATCCACACGATCCTGGGCTGCAGCTGCAAGGATGGGGCACCCCAAAATCCATCCCGACACCCCAAAACTCACCCTGGCACCCTAAAATCCAACCTGACACCCCAAAATCCATCCTGGCACCCTAAAATCCATCCCGACACCTCAAAATCCATCCTGGCACCCCAAAATCCACCGGGGCACCCCAAAACCCATCCCGACACCTCAAAATCCATCCTGACACCCCAAAATCCATCCCAACACCCCAAAATCCATCCTGGCACCCTAAAATCCATCCCGATACCCCAAAACTCACCCTGGCACCTCAAAATCCATCCTGGCACCTCAAAATCCAACCTGCCACCCCAAAACTCATCCTGGCACCCCAAAATCCATCCTGGCACCTCAAAATCCAACCTGCCACCCCAAAACTCATCCCGACACCCCAAAAGCCATCCTGGCACCCCAAAATCCATCCCGACACCCCAAAATCCAACCTGACACCCCAAAATCCATCCTGACACCTCAAAACTCACCCTGGCACCCCAAAATCCATCCCGACACCCCAAAACTCACCCTGGCACCCCAAAAGCCACCGTGCCCCCCCCCAGCCCGCAGGTGTGGGCACACCTGGCCCTGCACAGTGGGCCAGCGTCACCGGGAGCTGCCGGCAGGTTTTTATCTTATCCAAAATTCTGAGATAACTCCGGGAATGTGAACCTGGTGTGAACTCACACACACCCTGGAGATCACACAGTGCCACACCTGGGGACAGGAACGGGGTGAAAAGGGACACAGAGTCACCTGGGGGGACAGGAACGGGGTGAAAAGGGACACAGAGTCACCTGGGGGGACAGGAACGGGGTGTAAACACATTTTGTGTCACCTGGGGCGACAGAAACGGGGTGTAAAGGGACACAGTGTCACCTGAGGGGACAAGAGTGAGGCGTAAACACATTTTGTGTCACCTGGGGCGACAGAAACGGGGTGTAAAGGGACACAGTGTCACCTGAGGGGCAGGAACAGGGTGTAAAGGCATTCAGTGTCACCCGAGGGGACAAAAGTGAGCTGTAAACACACCCAGTGTCACCCGAAGGGACAGGAGCAGGGTGTGAAGGCACTCAGTGTCACCGGGGGGGACAGGAGCGAGGCGTAAAGGGACACAGTGTCACCTGAGGGGACAGCAATGAGGTGTAAACACACACAGTGTCACCGGGGGGGACAGGAACGGGTGTGAAGGCACTCAGTGTCACCCCACATGTCACACGCGGCGTGTGAAGGCGCAGCCAGACCACCCAGGCACGGCAGGACACGTCCCCAAACCGCAGCCACGGCCCCGCGGCCACCCCGGCGTCACCGGGGACCCCCGGGCCGGGCGGAGGCAGCGCCGAGCCCCGAGCGCCGAGCCCCGGTTCCGGTTCCCCGTGCCCGCTGTGAGGATGTCCCGGCCGGCCCCGCCAGGGGGTCCCGGTGTCGCTGCCGGTGCCACCCCCGGTGTCACCCCCGGTGCCGCCCCCGGTGTCGCTCTCGGTGCCTCCCCCGGTGCCGCCCCCGTTACCTTCTTGACGGTGCGCGGCGCTTCGGTGACGGAGCCGTCGGGGCTCACGAGCGCCTCGGCCGCGCTGCCGCTGCTGTCGCTGCCGTCGCGGTGCCGGTGCTGAGGGTGGTGCGGGTCGCTCCTCTTCATGGCCGAAGCCTGCGGCACCTTCGCGGCGGCCGACGACAGCCCGGCGGCCGAGGACAGCCCGGGGCAGCCGCTGCCCGGAGGCCGCTCGGCGGAGGGGGCCGGGGCCGCCTCACGCTCGGCGCCCGGCACGGGGCAGGCGGCGGCCGCCACGCCGTGCGCCGCTGCGTGAGCGCCCACAGGCTCGCACGGCGGCCCCGCCGCCTTGTCCATGGGGCCGCCGAGCTCCTTCAGCTCCACGGCGGGCGCGGCCACCGCCACCTGCACCGACATCGTCGCCGACTGCTCCGGCTCCGGCTCCGGCTCCCCCTGGGCCGCCGGCCCCGCCCCGCTCCGCCCCGCCGCCCTCGCTGCCGCGCTGCATGCTGGGACGTGCAGTTTTCCCGCCCCGTCGCGACTACATCTCCCGGCATGCCCTGCGGCGCCAGGTCGCCTCACCGGGCCGCGCGAGGATTGGTGGGAGTTGTAGGCCGCGCGGGGCTTGGTGGGAGTTGTAGGCCGCGCGGGGCTTGGTGGGAGTTGTAGGCCGCGCGGGGCTTGGTGGGAGTTGTAGGCCTCGCGGGGGTTGGTGGGAGTTGTAGGCCGTGCGGAGCCGCTCGCCCCCGGAGGGTATTTGGGTTTTTTCACGTTTTGGTGAACGTTCAGTGTTTCAATGGCCGGGCACAGAATGGCAGAAGCACTGAGGTTCTAAAAGACCTTCGAGACCATCGAGACCATCGAGACCGAGGCGTTGTGTCCCCAGCCCAGAGCACTGAGTGCCACATCCTTTTATTATTGTTATTTATTGACACCAGCCCCGAGAGAAGAACTTGGAGCTGCTGATGGGTGAGAACTTAATTAATTCTCAGTTCTCAAGTGTCAATTCCAATCCTCAAGCGTCCGATCCTCAAACCCTGGGCGAGCTCCGATGAGCTGGAGGAGAGGAGAGAGAGAGAGAGAAGGAATCCACAGAAACCTCCCCAAAAATCAGGAGGGAGAGGAGAGACGGGAGCAGCAGAGCCTGGGAGGCTGAAGGAGGATTTCAGCCAGGAGGAATTCCCGAGGGGATCGGAATCAAAGGACCAGCAGCGCATCCCTGAGTGCCCGGAATTCCAGGAGGACAATTCCCGACCTCACCGAACCGAAGCTGTTCCCCGCCGGAGCAGAACCAGGATCTGATTCTGGTCCCTCCCTCTCCCGGCATCACAAAATTCCAGCTCGGGGCTGATCCCGAGCTCAGGAGGGGCCCCTGAACTCTTGGAAAGGCGCCGTGGGAGGGATTTGGAGCTGGAGCGATCCCTCCCCTTCCATGGAAAAAAAAAATCCTTCCCCTTCCATGGAAAAAAAATCCCTCCCCTTCCATGGGAAAGCGGCGGCTCCTGCAGCGCCGCGGTTCTGGCTGAGGAGGGGAGATGGTTCTGAGATGGAAAAATCCTCCAAAATTTATCATCTCAGATCCCACAAAGAACAACCCCACCGGGTAAAATCCCGACCCTGATCCTCCTCTGCTGAGGAGAGGAGCTTGTGCCTGGAAATAGAGACTGGAAATAGAGAAATCCTCCAGAATTTATCATATCCCAATGCCACAGATCCTACAAATTCCATAAAAATATCCCGGCTTGTTTTGCACAACCTTGACCAAGGTAAAATCCTGACCCTGAATTCTCCTCTGCTGAGGAAAGGAGTTTGTGCCTGGAAATAGAGACTGGAAATAGAGAAATCCTCCAGAATTTATCATTTCCCAATGCCAAAAATGCCACAAAAACCCCACCAGGTTGTTATGACCAAGATAAAATCCTAACCCTGAATTCTCCTCTGCTGAGGAGAGAAGTTTGTGCTGCCCTGGATGGAGAAATCTTCCAAAATTTATCATTTCAGATCCCAAAATAAACCCCACAGGTTGTTCTGACCAAGGTAAAATCCTGACCCTGATCCTTCTCTGCTGAGCAAAGGAGATGATGCTGCCCTGAGATGGAAAAATCCTCCAAAATTTTAATTTCAGATCCCAAAATAAACCCCACAGGTTGTTCTGACCAAGGTAAAATCCTGACCCTGAGCCCACCTGGCTCCGTGTGGGATTTTCCCCACCCTTTAAAGGAAATTCCCAAAATTAGGAGACGGGCAGGGCCAGAATTTTTGGGGAAAAAAAAAAAAACAAAAAAACCCTCCCAGTGTTGATTGGCCAGAGAGGTTCCCCAGCTCCAGGGATCCAGGAGCTTTATTGAGCTGGGAAAATGGATTTATCTGGGAAAATGGATTTATTTGTGAAAACAGATTTATCTGGGAAAATGGATTTATCTGGGAAAATGGATTTATCAGGGAAAATGGATTTATTTGTGAAAACAGATTTATCAGGGAAAACGGATTTATCTGGGGAAATAGATTTATCAGGGAGAATAGATTTATCTGGGAAAACAGATTTATCTGGGAAAACGGATTTATTTATGAAAACAGATTTATCTGGGAAAATAGATTTATCAGGGAAAATGGATTTATCTGGGAAAATAGATTTATCAGGGAAAACGGATTTATCTGGGAAAACGGATTTATTTCTGAAAACAGATTTATCTGGGAAAATGGATTTATTTATGAAAATAGATTTATCTGGGAAAATAGATTTATCAGGGAAAACAGATTTATCAGGGCAAAGCAGCAGGGGAGGAAGGGAGAGGCTGTTTGGGGAGGGAGGCTCCAACAATTGGGGCTCTGTGAGAAGCAGCAGCTCGGGGCTGGTTCTGCCTGGAAATCCGGGAAAAATCAGCTTTGGAAAAACCAAAATTAATTTCCTTGAGAGCCACAGCAGAGCTGGGTCACGAGCACAAATAAAATTGAGGTAGAAAAGGAGGAAAAAATCTGAATTTTCCAGGTTGTTTTCTGTTTAGGCTGCTGTGGAAATGGCTCCTTCCACGGGAACGGTGGAGCTGCTGTTGGCATTTTGCCAGGGTTTATATAAAATATAATTAAAAATTGGAACTCGATACCGCATTAAAACATTTTAATAATTGCTCCAATCCACTGATTGGATTTTTGGGTGATTTTTGGGTGATTTCTGGATTGTTTTGGGTGATCTGGGGGTGATTCTTGATTGATTTTTGAGTGATTTTTGGATGATTTTTGAGTGATTTCTGGGTGATTTTGGGATTATTTTTGGCGGATTTTTTGATTATTTTGGGTGATTTTTGGATGATTTTTTTTGAGTGATTTCTGGATTATTTTGGGGTGATTTTTGAGTGATTTTTAAATTATTTTTAAAATTATATTTTTAGTGATTTTGGGGTGATTTTAGTGGTTTTTTGGGGTGATCTCTGGTTGATTTTTGGGGTGATTTTTGCCCATTTGGTTCCAGCAATCCCTTTTTTTTTTTTTTTTTTTTCTGCAGCCATCAATTCCTCCTGGCAACATCCCCAGGCTGCACCATCCAGAGATTTCATCCTTTTAATTCCACCAGATGGGTGGAAAATTCCAATATTTCCACCATTTCTCCCCAGGGATCAGTGAATCCATAGGGAATAAATGAATATTATCCAAATTTCCTGAAATTTCCCCGTTTTCCCCCTCCATCATCCCACATCATTTAATATTCACACAAATATTTTGGGTTTTCTTGTTTCAAAATGGCAAATCTTTTAAAGGATAGTTTGGTTAGAATTGGGTTTTTAACTAAGAAAGCCACAAAATAAAATAGAAAAGAAAGAGAAAAATTAAAAAAAAAACACAACAAAAAAAAACCAAAAAGAGAAATAATTTTGTTTTATCCTGGACAAACCAGCTTTGACTCTGGAGGGAGCTCAGCCCCCCAAAAAAAAAACCCAACCAAACACTGGAAAAATTTAATTTTCACTGAGCAATCCCACCTAAATTTCAGGGTAACCAAACCCTGCAGCTGCATGGCTCTGCAGCAAAAGAAAAAAGGGATTTTTTTTTTTTTTCCCAAAATCAGCATTTTCATCCCCAAAAAAAAAAGCACCAGCACCGTGATGGCTCAGTGGGACCCCACCCAAAAAACCCTAAAAATTGGGGTGGCCCCAAATTTTGGGGGATATTTTAACCCGTGGTGTCACCTGCTGGCAAAGGCCCCAGCTGTCCCCAGAAATGTTCAATTGTCCCCAAAAATGTTCAATTGTCCCCAAAAGTGTCCCCACAGCACCCGAGGGCATTTCCAGCTCCCTCCTGCAACTGCAACAGGGGGTCCAAAGCACTTAAAATCAATTTTTAATGTGTTTTAAAGCAGTTTGAAACATTTAAAATCAGTTTTTAATGTGTTTTAAAGCAGTTTTTAAGGTGCTTTAAAGCAGTTTTTAAGGTGCTTTAAAACATTTTGAAAAGCTTTCAAGCAGTTTTTAAGGTTTTGAAACACTTTAAAGTAGTTTAAAGCAGTTTTTAAAGCAGTTTTTTGGAGAAAGGATAAATCCCCCACCCTCCCCCAAAAATGTTTTCCCGCATGGATCCCTCCCCAAAAGAAGCCAGAGCAGCCACTGGGATTGAAAATCTGGAAATTTAATACTGATACAGGAGGGGGTTTTCCTTTACACAGCAAAAAAAAATGAACCCGTGGAAGTCACTGGGATAGCAAAAAAAAAAATAAAAATTAAAAAAAAAAGCCAGGAGCCTACCAGGACTTAACAAAAATAAAAACAGGGAAAATCCAAAACACCAGCAGGGACTGGAGCCCTCTTGCCCCAGGGCTTTGCTGGGTTGCTGTGACTTGATTTTTATTTTTTTTTTCCTATAAAAATAATAAAAAGCTTTGCTCTGGGGGTTGCTGACCCTGATTCACCTCGAGCACCCCGAGGTTTTTGGGGTTTTTTTGTTTTTTTTTGTTTCCAAGGTGTTTCCCATCCCCTATCCCTGGTGCTGCCACCCCACTGCTCCTGATCTGGGTCTGGCTCAGCTCCCTGGGGGGCTGGGAGGCACTTTGGGGTCTCTGAAGGGACTGGGGTGAACCCAAAATTGAGGTGAACCCAAAACTGGGATGAACCCAAAACTGGGGTGAACCCAGAATTGGGGTGAACCCAAAACTGGGGTGAACCCAAAACTGGGGTGCCCCCGACTGGGCTCACCCTGAGCAGAGGATTCACATCCTCATCATGATACAAATATTTTTTTTTTTTTTTTTAAAAATCAGGAATTTAAAAAAATTGAAAGTGGGGTGAGCTCTACGTACCTCTAGCTGTGGGTGGGGCAGAGCCAGGGCTGGCAGCACCCCAAAGCTGCCCAGAACCCACCCTGATCTAAGCTGTGCCCCAAAAGTGATCCTTAAATCCCCCTGGGGGTTGTTCCTCTGACTCCTCCTCTCTCCCAGAGGTGCTGGAGGGAATCCCAAACCCTCCAGGCCAGGCTGGGAGATGAATCCTCCGAGGACGGTGGAAATATTCGGGATGGATCCCGGCGGGGTCAGGCGTGTCCTGGTGTCCCCCCTCAGCTCGGGCTGTCACCTCGCTGCCCTCAGAAGTCCGAGTCAGGCTCCAGCAGCTCTGCATCCACCAGGTTGGTCCGGGAGTGGATGGGGGCCAGCCCTGCCCAGCCCCCCTGAGTCCTGGCCAGCCCTGCCTTGGCTCTGGGGGGCCACAGGGGACCCCCGTGGTGCTGCCAGCCCCCGGCCGCGGGGCTCTGCTGCTCGGTGGCCGCGCTCTCGGGGCAGAAGGGGCTGCTGATGACGTGCACGACGTTGGCTCTGCGGCTCTGCCCGTCCCACGGGCCCCTGGGGATGGCGACATCGGGCACGACATCGGGGGCAAAGGCCACCAGGCAGGGCTGGGGGGGCAGGCGGGGCAGGCGGGGGACGCTGGAGCTGCCCAGGCAGCGCTCGGGGTCCGGGTTCACCTCCTTCTTCTTCTTCTTCCTCCTCTTCTTCTTTCGGCCGCTGCGCTGCTGCAGCTCCGGGGACACGTCGGCCTCCACCAGCCACAGGTTGGGCCTCTCCTCTGGTGGCACTGGGGGACACGGAGCGAGGTGGCTGTGAGTTCCCCCCGCCCCATACCGGCCCCCCAACTCCCTGCACACCCCCACGAGGTCCCCGAGCACTTGCCAGGTGTGGCCACGGGCGTCACGGAGATGTCCTGGGGCAGGATGGCTCCTCTCCTGGCCACCATCTTGGTGACGTGCTGGGCCCACGCCGAGGACACGTCGGCCGACGGCTCGTTGATGTTGAAGGCCAGGCCGGCTGCAGGGACAGGGGGATGGGGTCAGGGGGGTGGATTTTGGGGAGCCCGGGGATGTCCCCTGGCCCGGGCACGTACCCACAGGGCCGTCATGGGACACGGTGTGCATGCTGAAGGACAGCTCCCGGCCCGGGTCCCGCAGCAGCTCCTTGCGCTTGGAGAAGGCCTTGGCGATCATCTTGCTCTTCTTGATCCTCTTGGGCTGGTCATCGCTCTGCCCCGTCAGCCTGGAGGGCACAGAGGGGACACGGGGGGACACGGCTGTCACTGCTGGAGCCTGCCCAGCTCGCCCTGCCATTCTGGACGGGGACACCAGGCTGGGACCCTTGGGAATGGAGGCGTCCCACAAACCCCACGTGGCAGAGGCCACTCCAGAACATTCCACAGCTCATCGAGCTGAGGGACAAACGTCTGGGAATGTCCAACATCCCACTGGATGGGGCAGGAAGGGCTCCAGGACAGCTGGGGTGACACCCTCGGGGTCCCACCTGCACCAGGTGCGCTTCCAGATGAGCAGGGTGGCCTTGGTCCAGACCCAGGTGCTCATGGAGACGCCGGTGCCGAACATGGCGAAGAGATTGATCTTCTCCACCAGCAGGCTGGGCCGGTTCTTGATCTCACACTCCGGGATGGGCTTGTTGGTCTGCGTGGCAATGGTCACGTTGGCCTCACACCTGTGGGGACACATGGGGACAGTGGCCGTGAGGAGGGGGGACAGTGGCCGTGAGGAGGGGGGAACACACAGGGGACAGTGGCTCTAAGGAGGGGGGATGCTCTCCCCACAGCCCCCACAGCTCTGCGGGGTGGTGGCACTGCCGGAGGGGGACACAGGGCAGTCCATGCCGCGGTGCCACCGTGTCCCTGTCCCCCCCCGTCACCCGCTGTCCCTGTGGCACTCACAGCACGTATTCCCGGAAGCTGCGCTCCCACTCGGCCTGGTTGAAGAAGTCGTAGAAGTGGCAGCCAAAGGTGATGAAGACGAAGCCAAAGGCCAAGAAGCCGAAGATGCCTGGAAGAGAAGAGGGACATCCCCGGCTCAGCCAAACCCCGGTGACACCGGGGCTGTGCCACCACCACCACCACAGCTTCCTTCCTGTGTGACTTCAGGGGACAAAAGGTCCCTGTTCCCTCGGGAATGGTGCTGCTGAAGCCCTCACCCAGGCGCAGCATGGTCTCGTTGATCTTGCTGGCCGCCTTCTCGCTCAGCAGCCCGGGGTGGTTGCTCTTGATGGAGAAGAGTGTCATGACCCCTGCGGGGAGGATGAGGGGGTCAGGGCGTGGGGACACCCCACGGTGACCCCGTCCCTTCCCAGAGCTGAGCCACACCTACCCCGGATGAGGAAATAGCCCCCCACGATGAGCACGAGCCCGATGGGGGCCAGCACGAAGCCGGCTCGGTAGCGGTAGTTCTTGTAGCCCACGAAGCAGATGCCACTGACAGAGTCACCATCCACCTGGCAGGGACAGTGACGGGGACAGCAGGGTCAGCTGGCTGCGGGTGTCACCCTGAGACATCACCCCGTGACAGATGGCGACCCCGTTACCTGTGCCACGGCCAGGATGGCCACGGTGAGCACGAAGGGGATGGACCAGGTGATGAGGTGGAAGTAGGAGGTTTTGCCCAGCAGGGGCTGGTAGGTGGTGCCCAGGGCCTTGAAGGACGTGTGCCAGGCGTAGGTGAGCATGACAAACCAGATGACACCCGACATCAGCGAGTAGTACACGATGACGAAGATGATGACGCAGGACAGCGTCTCGTTGGAGCTGCGGGGAGGAGAGGGAAGCGTCACCTACCCCACCCACCCACGAGGGGACACGCAGGAGGACGGGGAGGTGCTCCCAGAGAAGCCCTCGGTGCTGGGGACAGCTCTGGGCACGGAGGTGACACCTACGTGGGCTCGCCCAGCCGCATGGTGCCATCGGCCCGGCACACGATCTCGTCACGGGCACCATCCATGAACTGTGCCAGCCAACCAATGCTGCCCACGAAGAAACAGGCGTTGACGTAGAACAGGATGACGGCGGGGTAGCGGTTGGAGTTCCTCCAGTCAGCAACAAACGTGGCCTGCAAGGGGCGAAGAGAAAGCGACACCTCGTGGCCTCGTCCCCTTTTTGGGGCCACGTCCCCGCCAGCCCGAGCCTCACCAGGGTGAAGAAGGTGCAGAAGATGGTGACGGAGCTGAAGGCGGCGATGTAGACGTGCATCTCGCGGTGCTCCTTCTCGGTGAACAGCGGGTTCTGGCACTGGATGCCGCAGCCCTCCACGTCCTCGTACCAGCTCTTGGGGTTGTCCGTCCTCACCAGTGGAGCCTCGCACTGCCCCGAGCTGTTGAACTTGATGTTCTGCACCTCGTTCTGCCAGAGGGGAAATGAAGGTGTGAGGAGGAGGAGGAGGAGGAGACACCCCCATGGCCAAGGTGGACAGCTGGGTTTTGTAGAATCACCATGGAATGGTTTGGGTGGGAAGGGACCTCAGAGCCCCTCCAGTGTCACTCGTGCCACGGCAGGGACACCTCCCACTGTCCAAGTGCTCCCAGCCCCAATGTCCCTTGGACATTCCAGGGATCCAGGGGCAGCCACGGCTTGTCTGGGAATTCCATCCCAGCAAGATCCCTGTGGCAGTGGGAAGCCATTCCCTGTGTCCTGTCCCTCCATCCCTTGTCCCCAGTCCCTCTCCAGCTCTCCTGGAGCCCCTTTGGGGCACGGAACGTGCTGGAAGCTCCCCCTGGATCCTTCTCTTCTCCAGGCTGACCAACACCAACCCTTTCCCTGCCCATTCCCAGCCTTTTCCCAGCCCCTCCCCGTACCGGGCACCCCTCAGGGAAGCGGTCCGTGGTGCACTTGAGGAAGTCGGGCCAGCCTCGCTCGCGCTCCACGATGGTGCAGGGTGCCCGTGTGGCCTGGCACAGGGTCTGGCTGGGCAGCTCCACCTGCCCATCCTCACACTTGGGCATGTAGACGGCGCAGAGCAGGGGCTGGATGACGTCCCAGCAGCGCGGGGCATTGCGCAGGCCTGAGGGGAGGGGACAGCAGTGTCACCACCCCCGGCAGGGCCACCTCCTGCTGTGCCCACAGCACCCACAGGGCACTGGGACCGCTCTGTGGGGCTCTCCTGCTGTGCCCACAGCACCCACAGGGCACTGGGACCCCTCTGTGGGGCTCTCCTGCTGTGCCCACAGCACCCACAGGGCACTGGGACCCCTCTGTGGGGCTCTCCTGCTGTGCCCACAGCACCCACAGGGCACTGGGACCCCTCTGTGGGGCTCTCCTGCTGTGCCCACAGCACCCACAGGGCACTGGGACCCCTCTGCACCCATCTCCAGCCCCTTTTTAATCATTTTCTATGCTGTACCCATCTCCTGTACCCCACTGTAGAGTTTTCTATAGTGCACCCACCCTGGCCCTGTGCTGTGCCATATCCACCCCCTGTACCCCAATCTACTGCTGCCCTCTCTACAGTACCCATCCACAATGCTTTGTCACACAGTTTTCTATACTGTATGCATCCCCAGCCCTTTCCTTTACACTTTTCTATACTATTCCCATCCCCAGCCCCTTCCTAGAAAGTTTTCTATACTGTACCCATCCCCAACCCCCCTCTATAAAACTTTGTATACTCTACCCATTCCTAGCTCCCAGCTAGGCACTTTTCTATACTGTACCCATCTCCAGCCTCCCTCTATACACTTTCCTATACCGTACTCATCCCCAGACTCCTTCTATATAAAGTTTTCTGTCCTGTACCCATCCCCAGCCCCCCTTTATAAAGTTTTCTATACTGTACCCATCCTCAGCGCCCCTCTATAAAGTTTTCTATACTGTACCCATCTCCAGCCCCTCTCTACAAAACTTTATGTACTCTACCTACTCCCAGTCCCCTCGTAGGCACTTTTCTATACAGCACCCATCCCCAGCCCCCCTTTATAAAGTTTTCTATACTCTACCCATCCCCAGCCCTTTCTTATATAGTTTTCTACACTCTACCCATCTCTAGCCCCCCCATACTACACCCAAACCCTCCCCTCCAAGCTCACCCACCCCCCCATCCCCTCTCCCTCCACCACTCCCCATCCCCCTCCAGCCCCATCCCGGGCCTCTCCCGCACTCTCCCCGCTCCCGGTCCCGTCCCGTCCGTACCGGACCAGAGCAGCAGCTTGCCGTGCGCCTCCTCCTGCGAGGCGGAGTCGGTGGCCAGCAGCGTGGAGGTGGCGGCGTAGGGCAGCGCCGAGCCCAGGCAGGCGCCGAAGCGGAGCCGCTCGCAGGGCGCGGGGCGGCGGCAGCGCGGGGGCCCGGCCGAGGCGTTGGGGGCGGCGGGGCAGCGGCCGCCCAGAGCCAGCGCCAGGGCCAGCGCCAGAGCCCAGCGCCGCCCGCCGCGGCACGGCCACATCGCGGCGGTGCTCGGTGGGTTTAGGGCGGCTCGCAGCGGGGCGAGGGGCCCGCCATGGCCCCGCCGCCTTTGTTGGGCTCGCCGGGAGCGAGCGGAGCGGCCCCGCTGCTCCTCCTCCTCCTCCTCCTCCTCCTCCGCCGCCGCCGCCCGCGGCCCGGCCCGGCCCGCGCCCCCCGCCGGGGCGGGCTGAGGGAGGGACCGCGGGGGAAGCGCTGCGGAGGGTAAGAGACGCGATTTGTGAGGGGAAAGGCGCTGGTTCCGAGGGGAAAAGTCGCTAAAAAGTGAGGAAAAGTGCTTTTTTTGGGGGAGCAAGGAGTCCCCTTTTTGTGAGGGGAAAGTTCCTCTCGTGAGGGAAAAGTTCCTCTCATGAGGAAAAAGTTCCTCTTCATGAGGGAAAAGTTGCTTTAGGTCAGCAAAAGTTTCCTTTTTGTGAAGAAAAGGTCGCTTTTTGTGAGGAGAACTCGCTTTTTTGAGGGAAAAAGTCGCTAAAAAGTGAGGGAAAGTGCTTTTTTTTTAGGAGGAAGGAGTCTCCTATTTGTGAGGGAAAAGTTCCTCTCATGAGGGAAAAGTCGCTTTAGGTCAGCAAAAGTTTCCTTTTTGTGAAGAAAAGGTCTCTTTTTGTGAGAAAAAGTCGCTTTTTATGAGAAGAACTCGGTTTTTGTGAGGGAAAAAGTCGCTAAAAAGTGAGGGAAAGTGCTTTTTTTGGGAGGAAGGAGTCCCCTTTTGTGAGGGAAAAGTTCCTTTCGTGAGGAAAAGATTCCTTTTTCTAAAGGAAAAGTTCCTTTTTGTGCGGAAAAACTCACCCATGAGGAAAAAAGTCACTTTTTGTGAGGGAAGGTTCTTTTTTTCCTGGAGAAAAAGTTCCTTTTTGTAAGGAAAAAGTCACTCTTGTGAGGAAAAAGTTCCCTTTTCGTGAGAAAAAAATCACTCTTGAGGAAAAAGTCTCCTTTAGTGAGGGAAAAGTTCCTGTTTTTAAAGTAAAAATCCCTTTTTGTGAGGAAAAAGTCAGTATTTGTGAGGGGAAAGTTCATTCTTATGAAGAAAAGGTCCAATTTTGGAAGGAAAAAAGTCACTTTTGTGACAAAAACGTCACTTTGTATGAGGAAAATAACATTTTTGTGAGGGAAAAGTTCCTTCTTGTGAGGAAAAGGTCCTTTTTTTTCCTGTGAAATAAAATGTTTTTGTGATGAAAAGGCCTTTGTAAGTAAAAAGTTACTTTTTGGAGGTGAAAAGTTGCCTTTGGGGGAAAGATGCCACTTTTGGGAGGAGAAATATAATTTTTGGGGGACGAAAGCAATTAATAGGGAGAGAAAAGTTTCCATTTGTGGAAAAAATCTTTATAGGGGAAGAGAACTCAGTTTTGGGGGACAAGAGTCCCTTTCGGGGGAAAAAAGTTACTTTTTTGAGGGGGGAGTACTCTTTTTTTGGGGAAAAATAAATTTTAGGAGAGAAAAGACAATTTTGGGCGGAGAGATCTTGATTTTTCTGGAGGAAAGTTCCTTTTTTTAGGGGGAAGTTACTTTTTTAAGGAGGAAAAACCAGTTTGGGAGGGACAAAATACACTTTTGGGGTAAGAAAAGTTGCTTTTTGGGGACAAATCCCTTTTGGGGGTAGAAAAGTTGCTTTTTGGGTAGAAAAGAGAGGTTTTTTGGGAGGGAAATCCACTTTTTTGGAGAGCAGCTACTTCTTAGAGTAAACTTTTTGTGGGGAGAAGTAGCTCTTCAGAGGGGAAGTTTTGGGAAGAAAAATGAATTTCTGAGGGGAAAAATCGCTTCTTTTGCATTCCTCGGAGAAGCAATCGCTTTCTGGGGAAGAAATAACATCTCGGCGGGGGATGAAGTGGATTTTGAGGGGAAAAAAGCCAAGAAAAAGTTGGTTTTTTTTAATGGGAGAGAAGCGTCCCGGCCGCACACAAAGAGCCGGGCGCTGGGCCGCATCCCGGCTCCCTCCGCGGCAGGGACCACCCAGCCCGAGGAGACGGGAAAATTAAAAGAAAAAAAAAAAAGAAAAAAAAAAATTCCAAAAACCCAACCTCAACAAACTCCACCCACGGTTTTGCGTCAGCTCCGAGAGGCCGGGCCAGGCCGAGGCTCCTCAGCCGCTTTTCCCCGTTTGTTTCGGGGCCTCACAACAGCGCGGTGTGAGGGAGGGCCTTGCCTGTCCCCAGAGCCACCGCGGTGTCCCCTGCACAGCCCGGCAGCGTCCGGCCTCGTGGTTTTATTGTCCCTGGAAGCCAAGGAAGCGGCACAGCCCGGCATTGACTCAGCACCCCGGGGCACCCTCGGCTGTCCCCGCACCCCGCCACACCGACCCGGCTGCGAGGGGAATGTCGGCAGTCCCGCAGCGCAGCCTGGGCGAAGGCAGCTCGGTGCAAACAGACAGACAGACAGACAGACAGACAAAAGTCCTTCTCCAGCACACGCGGAGAGGGGAGGCACATCCTCGTGCAACCAGCAGGACGGACAGACAGCGATTCCCCAGCGCTGCTCCAGCTCAGCACGTCCAGGCCGAGCCCAGCACCGGCTGCCAAAGGCACGGAGTCTCCGCGGATCCGCATTCCCTCTTGTGCAGCCGAGCCCCTCGGGCTCTCCCGGCGGATCCCGCATTTGGGAAGGCCCCCGGACACCCCGGGAGGCTGCGGGACTCAGTACCAGGGGTCTGCCCGGTGCTGCTGGTTGTAGAGCTGCAGCTTGATCTGGTCGCGGATCTGGTTGATGAGAAGCTGAGCCAGGACGATGCCCACCAGCTGGAGAGGGAGGGAAGGAAAGGGAAAGAAGAGAGGGAGTGGGCAAAGGAGGGGAGAGGAAAGGGGGATCGATAGGGAGGAGAGAGGAGAGGAAAAGGAGAAGGGAGAGGAAGAAGAAGAGGGAGGAGAAAGAGGAAGGGAAACAGAAGGAAATGAGAGAGGAAGGGGGAAAGGGAAAAGAAAGAGGGGAGAGAAAGGGAGAAGAAGGGAAGGAGAAGGAGAGAAGAGCCAGAGAAAGACCGAGAGGGAGGAAGAGGAAGGGGAGAGGGAGGTATTGAGCAACACCAGGCAGTGTCACCCCATGCCCCCGTGCCTGCCATTTGTGTCACTCCCCTACTCTACATCCCATCCCAACTCGCCCATCTTGCAGTCAGCCACCGTTAAGGCAGCTCCCCAAAAACCCCAGAAAGCAGAGCTTTGGGACAGAGCCTTGTCCCGCGTACCTGGGGCAGGGCCAGCCCCAGGGTGATGCCCCCCAGCAGGAAGAGGTTGCTGTGGGCCCAGTTGACCAGCTTGTCGATGCAGCCGTTGGTGTGGATGAAGGCACTGGCCTCCAGGTAGCCCCTGGCCTGCATCCCGTGGCCACACATGGTGTTGATGACGGCCTGGAGAGGGGACAGAGCACACTGGGGTCCCTGCTCTAGGGGGGCAGTGTGGGGTGACCAGGAGCTCTGGCCTTTGTCTCGGTGGGGTGTCCCCTTCCTCAGTGTCCCCTCGCCAGCCCTCCAGAGGCACCTGCCCCCCAAAGAGCCAATTCCAGTTCTGGAGAGGGAGAATTCACCCCCATCTCACCACAGCATTTCCACCCAGGAGTCCCCAAAACCGAAAGTTGGGATGGAGAACCCAAATCCAGAAGATGAATTTGGGGATCCAAATCTGGAAAGTGAGATGGGGAACCCAAACCCAGAGGTTGAGACAGGGGGAAACCAAGCCTAGAGGGTGGGATGGGGGAAACCCAAACCCAGAAGGTAGGATGGGGGAAACCCAAACCCAGAAGGTGGGATGGGGGAAACCCAAACCCAGAAGGTGGGATGGGGGAAACCCAAACCCAGAAGGTGGGATGGAGGGAACCCAAACCCAGAAGGTGGAATAGGGTCCATACATTGCCTGTTCCCTCCCCTAGGGCAGGGCTCCAGGCTCAGCACAGCCGCAGGGGATGTGAGGACAGCCCCAGGGCAGGGTCCCCCCCGAGGACACGCCAGGACTGACCTGGTCAGGGTCGCGCAGGCAGCAGGAGAAGGGCACGGAGCAGCGCTCACGGCTGGGGTTGGTGGCCGTGCAGTTGAAGTACATGTTCTGGGACCAGTCCTTGTAGGAGACGCCCCCACAGCAGCTGAACTGTGGGCAGGGCAGAGGGCTCAGCTCAGGACCCCAGCCCCAGCAGGGGGACAGGACAGGACACTCAGGGCCCTTCATGTCCCCAGCTGTCCCCAGCCTCCCCCTGCCCGGGCAGGACATGGCCATGAACATCAAATCCTTCTAGGAGAGCCATCCAACGTCCCCAAGCTGTGCTACCCCACAGATTTAAGCCTGACACGGAAATGAGGACATGTCCTCATCCCTTGGAGGGACACCCCAACCCTGCAGCCCCCCCTTGGTCACCTCCTTCTGCCCAAAATCGATGAGGTTCTGCAGGTCCAGGTCATCCCGGTAATGCACGATGGCCCCGTTGATGATCTCGCTGACCTTCCCGCGTGCCTGGGGGGACAAACGGGGGCTGTCACCCAGCAGGACAGCATTGGGGTCACCCAGCACCCCCACTGCTCCCCCCAGTACCTCATCAGAGAACACAAAGCCCAGCACGCCGGCCGCCAGCTGCAGGAGGAAGATGATGGTCAGGCAGACGGAGAACTGTGGGACAAGGAATGTGACGGTGAGGTGACCACGGGAGGGACACCGAGATGCCACCAGGGTCCCCAGCAGGGACCCCCACCCCTGGCAGCACTCACCAGCTGCAGCAGGCAGATGTTCTCCCGCAAGGAGCCGACACAGCCGCAGAAGGTGATGAGGAAGGTGAGCACGCCCACCATGATGAGGAGGATGGCAGGGTCCACCGCCAGGCACGCCATGGCCGCCTCTGTCACGGCCAGCTGTCACCAGCACTGCCAGCACCCCCGGGACCCCACAGCCCAGCCCCCAGCGTGGCTCGGAGCCAGCAGGGCTGGGCAGCCCCCAGAGCTCACCTGCGTGCTTCAGCAGCCGGGCATAGACCCCCACGGCCACCATCACCATGGAGATCACCTGCACAGGGACACAGGTGTCACCCCCCAGGTGTCACCACCACCTGCAGCCCCCCAGATCACCTGCACAGGGACACAGGTGTCACCCCCCAGGTGTCACCACCACTTGCAGCCCCCCAAAATCAGGGATGCAAACGGAGCTGCAGCCGCTGCCTCAGTTTGCCATTGTCACACGGTGTCCACCGTGTCCCCACCTCCTGCGAGGTCACATCTGTCTCCACCTCCCGGGAGGTCACCTTTGTCCCCACCCACCAGTCAGCAGCTCTGCTTCTCTACGGGTGGCTGGACACAGGGATGTGGTTTATCGGAAGCGAGAAACTTCCTCAAAAAATAGGACGGCAAACACGGAAATAACCCGCAAAAAAAAACCCCTGCAAAAACCCCCAAAACGTAAAAAATACCCAAACCTCCCAAGAAGTACAAAAGTCTCCGAAACATTTTTTAAAAGTTTTTGAAACATAAAAAAATGTACAAAACATAACATTTCTCAAAAACATAAAAATCACTCAACGCGTTAAAAAAAAAAATCAAGAAGGCCGCCAAACATGGCAAAGTGTTCCCTGCAGGAACAGTTCCAGTGTTCCTGGAGTGGGCTGGGGACAAGAGGGGCCTCTGCGGGTTTGTCACCTGTGTGGGGCCAGGAAGGGTCCCGGTGAAGTGGTGGGGATCCAAAGAACCCCAAAAACCCTCGGGGAATGGGGAAACCCCATCTGTAGATTCTGGAATGGGGGGATCCCAGTGGATGGGGACACTCCCAGGGACCAGGAGTCCCTGAGGAATGAGGGGTCACGGTGGGGTCCTGGGGTTGGGGGGCTCCAGGGATCCCAAGGACAGTGGGGACCAGGGGTGGGGACAGCTCCAAAGCCAAGGGGCTCCCGGTGGGGTCCTGGGGATGGAGGTGAGTCGAGGGATCCCGGGAATGTGGGGGATCCCAATAGGGTTCAGGGATACAGACATTCCCAAGGGCTGGAGGGTCTCGGTGGGATCTCAGGAATGGGGGTCCCGGGGATGGCGGTGTCCCAGTGAGGTGCAGGGATGGGGACAGCCCCAGGTCCGGGTGTCCTTCGGGAATGGGATGTCCCGGTGTCCTCGCACTCACCCAGAAGAGCAGGTTGAAGAAGAAGAGCACGTACTTGGCCACCGGGCTCACGAAGGAGAAATCGTCCCCGAGGGGCCCGGCGGGGACCGCCACTCGCCTCGCCATGGCCGAGCGGGACCGAACGGAGCCGAGGGGATCCGAACGGGACCGAGCGGAGCCGAACGGGACCGGTCCCCGCTTCGCCCGCAACGGGCACCTCCGAGCTCAGCCACTCCCCTTCCCCTTCCAGCCCTCTCATTGGCTGGTTCCTCCACTCTCCGCCTTCCCATTGGTCAACCACCCCGTCACTCAAGCCCGCCGGTCCCGCCCCCGCGCGGTGCGGCGCTGCGCACCTGTCCGTGTCTTAAAGGGCCAGCGCACCCCATCCCCATCCCATGCAGAGACGGGCTCGGGCCCAAATCCCTTCCCGAACCTGCCCGAAGTCAGAGAACCCCGCAGCTTGGAGGGATTGTGGAGTTTTACAATTATGGCTGTAACTAATGATTGATTTCTGCCCCGGGTGACAGTGCTGGAAGGGACACGAGGGACAGCAGGGACACAGAGGAGTTGGCATCCCTGACACGTGGCCAGCTGCGGTGATTCGGGGTTTTCCTGAAAGGACGTGACCCAAATTTGCTGAAATCAGCCCCAAACCCTCCAGTGCTGATACTGCATCCTCAGTGACCTCTCCAGAACAGGAAAGGGGAAGCTCAAACCACATCCACTCCCCTCTGCCGCCGAAACTGAGACACTTTGGTGACTCCTGGGACACCAGGTCCCAACAGATCCCTTCCCCAATAGGATCCAACCCTCAAAACCCATTTTTTGGATGAATTCTGCCCTATTTTTTTTGTCTCACATTTCCGTTTTCTTGGCTGGTGCGGGCAGAGACGAGAGCTGTCACCTTGTGCCGCCACCCTTTGCTTGGAGGGAGCACCGACTCACTGTAATAATTTAATTTATTATTATTATTCCATTTTTAATCATTTCTCTTCTATGCCTGGGCTGGAAATTGCCTGCGAGCAGATGCTCCTTTCTGGAGCAAGACGAGAACTTCAGACAGAGGAACCAACCCCAAAAATCCCCTTTGTGCTTTTAGGGTCACAGAGGAGCCAGTCCCACTGCCAGAACAGTCATTTCCTTGGGATGCTGCTGGGAGGAGCCCCCGTGACCCACCAAAATTCGAAAAACATCCAGAAAAATCTGGAAAAAAATCAGCCTAAAAAAACCTAAAAAATCCCACAAAAATTTGCACTAAGAAATTCAAAAAAGCCACGAAAAATTGCCAGAAAGAAGTCCTAAAGTCTGCACTGAAAAACAAGAAAACAAAAATGGCCCCAACACCCAGTGAGATTCCAGGGATTCCTGGGGGCGAAAAGCCGGCAAAAAGTTGGGGAAAAAATCCGGGGGAAAATCCGACTTAACCCCAAAAATCGCAGTAGAAATGGCCATAAAAGTCCTAAAAACTGCACTGAAACACCCCAAAATCGCTCCGAAATCCAATGAGATTCCAGGGATTTCTGAGCAAAAAAAAAACGGGGAAAAGGCTGAGAAAAAAATCTGGGGAAAACCCGACAAAAAAAAAACGGGGAAAAGGCTGAGAAAAAAATCTGGGGAAAACCCGACTCTAAATGGCCGAAAGACCCCAAAAATCGCACTAAAAATCGCCATAAAAGTACTAAAATCTGCACTAAAATTTCCCCCTCGGCGCCTTCGGGGCGCGGGCGGGACAAGGGGCGTGGCCGTATGTGAGGGGGGCGTGGTTATGGAAATGAATCACACATCACATGACCAAATATGGTGTGGTGGGCGTGTCTGTGGGCGGGGCCAGACAGGCCCCCTCCCAACAGCGCCGCCCAGCGGCCGTGAGGGAACGAGCGCACTTGGGGACCCCCCACACCCCAAAACGGGGACACCCCCAGGACCCCCCCACACTCACCCCAAAACGGGGACACCCCCGGGACCCCCCACACCCCAAAACGGGGACACTCCCGGGACTCCCCAAACCCACCCCAAAACGGGGACACCCCCGTACCCCACAGCCCGTCCCTAAGCGGGGACACCCCCCCACAATCACACCTAAAAGGGGACATCACCATGACCCCCACCCCGAAACTGGGACACCCTCGGGACCCCCAAAACCTGTCCCTGAATAGGGACACCCTGGGACCCCCCCGGGACCCCCCCTTACCCCACATCCCACCCCTCAAGCCCCCCGACCCCTCGCGGGTGGGAAGGAAGGGTCACCCCCTCTCTGGAGCAACGCTCTTTATTTGGGGTCTCAGCATTTGTCCCCCCCTAGCCACGAGACCCCGGGGTCTGGGTGTCCCCTGGAGGGTGAGGGGACCCTGAGCTGTCCCCTGCCCATCCTTGGGGGTCCGAGAAGTGCCCCCCACCCCAAACCATCGTGCATCCCCCCAAACCCATCCTGCCCCCCCCTGTGCCTGCAGCCCTGCCCCAGAGCGTCGCCCCAGCCCTGTCCCCCCCTTTTGGGGCCGTGTCACCCCTGGACCTGTCCAGCTGGGGGTGGCCTCAGGTGTTGAGACTCTTCACGTCACCCAAGGCCACCTGTCCTTCCTCCCCTCCAGCCACGGCTCCGGGCTCCTGGGCTGGGCCCCGTGCTGATTGGGGACAGTGAGGGGAGGCCATGGGACAGCCCTGACCCCACACAGAGCTGCTCCCGTCCCCATCCCTGTCCCCATCCACACCCGTGTCCTCATCACCGCCCTGTTTTCATCCCCATCCTCATCCCCATCCCATCCTCATCCTCTTCCCTCCTCACCCACATGCTCATCCCATCCTATTCCCATCCCATTCCATCCTCAGCCTCCTCATCATCCCATCCCTATTCCCATCCCATCCCATCCCATCCCTATTCCCATCCGACCCCCCAAAGGAGCAGTAAAACCTCTCCCCACACAAAATCCCATCCCCAGGATGGACCAGGGGGTCTCCAACTACTCCCATCCTACAACACCGTCCTGTGCCCCCCAGCACTTCCTCTGTGCTCTGCAGCCCCCCCTGTGCCCCCCGGGACCCCTTGTGCCACCCCCTGTCCCCCAGGACCCCCTTTTGTGCCCCCCAGGACCCACCTGTGCGCCCCCAGCAGTGCCCCTGGCAGCGGGCACACACCATGACCCCGATGGCCACCGCGGTGAAGGCGGCCGTGAGGACACAAATCACCATCAGCATGTCCGGCTCGGTGGCCTCGGGGACCTCTGCGGGGTGACAGCGACACTTGGGGACACGGCCGGGACCGCCCCGCGCTCCCCGTCCCCTGCCAGAGTGGGGGACAACCAGACAGACACAGCAGGGAATGTGGGGACCCCAAACACGGCCGGGGGAGGCAGAGCAGGGACACCTGGTGTCACCCAGATGGGGACAGGGATGGTCACAGCAGGGAACTGGGGACAGCCCCAAATTCTGGCACCACCCAGATGGGGACAGGACTGGACACCCCAGGGAATGAGAGGGACCCCACAGGGGACAGTGCCACCCCCGCCCCTCTCACCTGCCAGTGCGGGCTGCAGCACCAGGGAGCAGAGGAGCTGCGGGGCCGCGGCTCGGGAGGCGTAGCAGGAATAATTCCCGAAATCGGCATGGCTGAGGTTCCTCAGCAGCAGCGACACGCCGGTGTCGCCTGTCCCCGCGGCGCAGAAGGCGACCCTGCCCCTAAAGCGGCTGTCGGGCTGCACGGGTGGCTGCCAGCCCGGCTCGGGGGGCGGCGATTGCAAGCCCAGGCGGTGGCTAAGGACGGGGACAGCGAGGTGGCCACCAGCCTGGTGGGTGCAGCTGAGGGTGACCCCGCGCAGGTCACCCCAGGGCTGGGTGCCACAGGGCAAGCAGGCGTCCTCGCCGATGGCCGCGGTGACGGTGACAGGGACAGGAGGGTGGTCTGGGAGGGGACACAGCGGGGTCACCACAGGGATGGGGTACAGAGGGACAACAAGGGGACTCTGCTGGGTCACGGCTGGGGACAGGGGACACCCGTGGGGACACAGCGGGGTAACCCCGGGACAAGGGGGCTCTGCTGGGTCACGGTTGAGGACAGGGGACATCTGTGAGGACACAGGGATGGGGTACAGCTGGACAACAGGGCTCTGCTGGGTCATTCTTGGGGACAGGGGACATGTGTGGGGACAGGGGGATGGGGTACAGCAGGGTAACAAGGGGGCTCTGCTGGCTCGCGGCTGGGGACAGGGGACACCCGTGGGGACACGGGGTGGTGGCAGCAGCCGCTGCCAGGGCCGAGGCTCGCTGGTGCCGAGCAGCCGCCCCGTGAGTCACCGCCCTGCCCGGAACCTCCCCCGCCCTCGCCCTCGGGGTCCGCACCGCGCAGGGGGGGAAAGGGGGGGGGATGGAAAAGGGGTCCCCGGAAAGAGGGGGGGGGGGGGGGCGGCTCTGTCCGGACCCCCCACCCCACTGCCCGTGGGTACCTGCCCCGGTGAGGAGGGGGCACAGAGCCCAGAGAGCCACGACGGGGACCAGCGCCATCCTGGCGGCGTCCGGAGCCGGGCAGCTCCTGGGGGGACGCGGGCACGGCGTCCTCAACAGCGGGGCACCCCAAAAACCTGGGGGCACCCCAAACACAGCCCCACCACGGGACCCCGGGGGTGTCCAACCCCCCACCGCCGGCGTGAGCAGGG